TAAAAATCCCAAAATACTTATACATATGTTTAACACTTATGTCAGACCCGGATTAGAGTTTGCGTCTCCTATTTGGAATCCATACTTAAGAAAAGATATTATCAATCTTGAAAGAATCCAAAAGAAATTCCTAGTATCCGTATTTATAAGGCTAACTTATACAAACAATCAAAAAATTAATTTTTCGGATATTCCCAAATATGGCGAGTTACTCAAAAAATTTAACGTTGAAACACTCGAATCCAGACGACTTAAAATCGATTTGATCTTATTTCACAAAATGATTTTTGGTGAAATTAAAATTAATAATAATAACATAATTCACTTTAAACAAACTAGGACTCGTGGGGAAGAATACAAATTGACTATTCCACATTGCTCATCCATGGTTAGATATAATTCCTACTTTATCAGAACATCTAGATTATATAATTCACTACCTATTGTTATTAGAAAAAATACACCCTCTAATTTTAGAAAAATTATAATAAATTTTGATCTGTTAGGCCATTTACGACAAACTTTACCACACCTTATTACAAACCACTAGTTTACACAGATTTTATATTTACTCTCAAATAAAACATTCCATTTAATTTTAAAAATTTATATTATTTCGAATTTTTATGTTTTTATTTTGTTGCATTGTTGTGAATCGTAATTTTATTTGTGACCTTCGCGTCATTTTGACGTAAATAAATAAAATAAATAAGCAAATCGGGTGAATATGTCGAAAAAATTTATAGTTTATTATCATTTTTAGAGAGTCAAAGCTTGACTTTGGCTAAGGAATTATTGCCGTAAATTTCTGTCTTGAAATTTTTAAGAATAATTTTATTGCATAATTTTTAAGATTTCTAATAAAACTATGAATCATGGCACACTAGCGAGTTTTAAAATGTATCGGTTTTATGTCTAGTGTTTATCGAATCGGGAATCACGATATTTCCCCAAGAACTGATCTCAAGTTTACTTAATAATTGATTATAAATTATGAATATTATAATAATCGTTCTAATGGGGTTGAGGTGGCTTCTTTTTTTTAATTTTATCTTTTGGAAGCCAAAGATAAAATTTGGCTAAACACTGGGTTTTGTGTCTTATTTCTGTAGGACTTCTGCGTCAACACGATCCCTAGTTTACACAATATCTTAATAATTGTTTAAAAATTGTTTAAAGTATAAGTAACTCTGTTGACTATGTCAGGGTTCGTACAAATTTACTTCTATCATTTTTGGAAGCCATAGCTTGACTTTGGCTAAACACTTATTACCGTAAATCGTCTCGATTTAAAATTTTCAAAAATCTTCTTTACCTTTATAATTATTGAATCAAACTTTAATTCTTTTCCTTTTAATTTTTTCGATAAATAAATCTGTCTTGTTGAGAAAAACAATCATTGAAGTTTTATAAACCATCTGGAATTGCAAATACTTTCAAAGAGGATACTCTATTCTTAAGTATCAACTACTAAGTGATCTTTGCTTTGCTGGGATTTCACGCCGTAATTTTTTGGAAACCCATTAGTAATGGGTTAATTAATTTATTTTTATCATCACTTGGATAACAAAAATACAAAACGTATTGCTGTGAAAAAATCATGCCTTTGAATTTTATTTTAACTTAGGAGTTAAACACGGAACTTTAAAAAGCTTGTCTAAGAATTTTCACCCAAATTAAAAATTCTACCGTAGCCTCATCTTCAAACAAAACTTGATCAAATTTACTAATTGCTGTGATGAAAATGATGGAATTTACATTTTCAAAGCAGTGATCCATTTTTCCTTTCCGATCACTAAACTTTTTGAAATATTTTTAAATTTATTTATTTTTCAACTTGTCCACCAACATCAAATACCAAAAAGTCAACTGTTTTCATTTTGAAAGCAACCTAATTTGAAAATTTTTAAACAAATTTGCTTAATATTAAATAAAAAATTAAATGTTGTATTTTTGCATTGGGCATATACTTGAATTAATGATAGTGGGTTGAAATGCAGATTGTTTATTTTTGTAAGTCTTAGCTGTTACTAAGATTAAAATTTATTTCAAAGACAGGACTTCTAGAGTCATATCAGAAAAGTACGAATTGTAACGATAAATGAATGAAAGCCATTAGCTTGGCCTAGATGGACAAAAGGCGATTAAAGATTTATTTTTAGTCAGATCTAGTCGACTTCCAAAAATTACACTCAAGAGAATTCAAACGATATTTTCTCATTTTAATTTTCAATATATCTGTGATACTATTTTAAGTATTCAATATTATGTACAACTTCTCATGTAATAACCTGATTATGCTCGAAATCTCATCTCAGTCCGGTCTCTAGGTAAAAGGTCAAGTCTTAACTGTAGCTAAGTATAATGTTATTATTTAGATGAGACTGGGAGGGTCATACGTAATAATCTCACGAGATAACTCGAAAATATCGAACAGTCTAGGCTTAGACTTGCCATGTTAAACAACAATGAATCGAAATTATTATTAGTCAGATAAAATTAGAATTAGTCAGATATTATTACACTCTGTCAGAAAATTATAAGCACCCCCTAGTTTTTGAATAAAAACATAGTTAAAGTTAAAATATCATAGTTTTAAATATTTTTAGGATTTTCTGATGCATATTGAACAGAAAAAAACAATCACTGATAAAATAAATATAGATAGTAGAAAAAATAAATGAAATTTCTTTAAAACGACTGTCAGATAATTATAAGCACCCCTAAGGTTTCGACATTAGGGGTCGTCCGAAAAATCTACAAAAATTCCTGTGAACATATTTAGAATTCAAAAAAAATTTTGCCTGCGGCGCTGAAAACAGTTCCTTGTATCTTCAGTTTGATTTGCCTAGGTCATTTTTACTGGTTTTTTGAAGTGATTTGGATCAAGGGTGATGATATCAGTCGATATAGAAGGATATCGGGGATCTGAGTTCCAGATCAAGAATGGGTGGTACTGAATTCCGACCCACCTCTGCCTCCGACCGACTCTGCTCACCACGCTTACCACTTTAATTAAATGGGCAATTTTGGAAGTAAATTTGGGGAAATAGACATTAGAAGATTTTTTGGATTAATACGGGTATCCGAGAGAATATCAATATTGCTTATAAATCGTTTAGCCCCTAAATATCTCACCTAATAATATCGACATACTTCCTCTTAATTACTCCAAATCACCCGATATATTTCTTACATGCTAGTCGGGAATATCAGGGAATATGATGGATTAAGTGGATATCAAAGTATTTGAAGGGATATCAGAGGATTTGGAGGCTAATATTTGAATTCAATGAAATATTTGATGCATTTAGACATGTACAACCTCGAAAAACTTATTATCTAGCATTAAAATCTAAAGATTTATAATTTAGATTTTTTTCGTTTCGTTTCGTTTTGATTTGTGAAAATTGAGATTTTTTTCGTTTCTTTCGTTTCGCAAAAATAAAAATTATTTTTTCGTTTCGTTTTCGTTTCGTACAATGACGAATTTATTTTTTTCTCGTTTTCGTTTCGTTGAGTGCAAAATTTTATTTTCGTCCATCTCTGTTCCGAAGCCGAAAAAAAACTTTTAGCCAGTTTTAGCCAGTTCCGATTTCCGACACCTCTGACTGTTCTGACCCACCTCTGATTGGTGTTAGTTCCATTGGGTACAGAAGAACGTCCGCATTGAAAAACTTCGCTGAATTTAGGCCTAAATATTTAAATTTAAGCTGATTGAAAATATTCCTTAATTGTTTAATTACACATGTACTATTAACTTTTTTTAAATTGTTTATATTTTTTGAGGCTGATATTATTCGGCTAATTTCTAATTAAATTTCTTTTTGTTAAATTAGTAAATTATTTTTTAGTCTTTTCTGGCTTTCAATTGTTAACATATTCACAACACATTCATGTATTTCCTCTCTAAACAAACCAGATCCGCGGTTCACATTTTAGCGTAATTCATTTTTTGGCGCTGCAGGCAAAGAATTCGCGATTTCTAATACATATTTCTAATTTCAAAATTTTAACTTAATTAGACTGGGTATGTTAATGGTTTTAAAAAGTTCTGTGTTTATGGTGTATTTTTGTAAGTCAAATTTATTTGACTAAATTTCTTTTTCAAAATACCCTGACAGGATTGAGTCTGGCTTTATTTTTTGTATATTTGTCGGTTCTGGGATATCTTCCGTCTCCATTGTGTGTATTCATTTGTGCCCGTGTTTCTTTTGCATTGGAGGTATTAGTATATAGTGGAATGGATTAGTATAGTATATAGTGGATGGATTAGGATGGATTAGTATATAGTGGGATTTTATCAAGGGACCTAGTGATTAATCCACCGATATCCCTCTAAATCTATTAGATTTTTACAAATTTAATATTATTTACATATAAATTGCAGTATTTTGGCGCACTTTATTTATAAAAATTTAAAATTTTTTTTTAAAAAAATCCCGAATCCCGGTCGGGATCCCGGATAATTATTTTCGGAATTTCGAGATTTATCCCTCGGGATCCCGTCTCGGCCTCGATTAAGAAAAAAATCACGACTCGGGATCCCGGAAGTGCGATTTTGCCGACCTCTAGTATGTATTTGCAGCTGCCCTTCCAATAAATAATAATTTTTATTTTATATTTCTCTCACGCGTTCCCATCATTTTTAGTAATTTTCCCCTCTTCATCTCAATCATCATTTTGCCTTTACAATCCAATCAACCAAATAAATATACACTAGTTGTTTTGTTATTTTTATGTTTTTATTCACCTTTCCTTTTTAATTCTTCGTTCGCGTAAATTTGTACTTTTTAGCTTATAAAATTGTTTACAAAAAATTGTATTTGTACATAACTAGTCGATATGATATTTTTATTTGTTATGCGGCGTTTGCTTTCGCTTACCGTCAAAATTCGCTTTGCGTCTTGCGATAGAAAATAAATTTAGTGACAGATATAAGTAGTTAGTAGCCAGTCACCGTCGCGGCTTGTAATCCCTTGTAAACATGTACCTTTACATCACTGTCGCGGGGGAGGAGGGGTCCGACAAAACCAAAAGGAAGAGGGCAGGTCGGGAGTCGCGCGGCAAAAAATCAAAAGGGAGTGGACACAACGGCAGTGTCGGGGGTCAGACAAAAGTGAGATAGTGGGGGAAAACCAAAAGGATCGGCGCTGTCGCGGGTCATACAAAAGAAAGAGAGTATAGTGGGGAAAACCAAAAGGAAGTGGACATATTACCACTTCGCGGGTCATACAAAAGAAAGAGAGTATAGTGGGAAAAAACAAAAGGAGTAGGCATATCAGCAGTGTCGCGGGGTCAGACAAGAGAAATAGTGCGATAACCCTAAAGTAGTGGACATATCAGCAATGTTGTGGGAGGAAAAGAGAAAGTATGTAATTAATACTAGTAATTTGTAAATCATCAATTAACATGTAATCTTGTCATGTTTTGTGTGTTTTGTGTAAATTATTTAAAAAACATGTGATTTTGAAATAGTCGATTTTAGAGAGAAAAGTGCATAATTAAGAATACAATGTGCAAAGTTTAGAGTTTAAAATAGTTGATTTTAGGGAGAAAAGTGCATAATTAGAGTGAAAAAAGTTGCAAAAAAGCATAGTTTGTAGTTTGAAAACGTTGATTTTAGGGGTAAAAGTGCAAATTTTCACAAAAGAAAATGCAAATTTTAAATTTTCATTAAAATTCATGTATTTTGGGTATGTGTGTGTGCTTTGGAGGTGTGCGCGTGTTTTATGTATGCGTGATTTTTAGGGGCGTGTCAGTTTTGATAATAATTTTGTAATCCACTGAAAACCCTGGTATAAAAGGCTGGAGATTTTGAATATTAGTATCATTCTTTCAAAATGAATCAAAATTTGTTTTCCCAAATCCTCCCTGAAGTAGATTTCAATATCTCTTCGAGTGGGATAACCGTGTTAAGTTACCGTCTTACCACTCCACGATTTATTCCTTATGATCAGTCAGGGAAATGTAAGGAGTGTAAGAGCACAGAGGTGGAGATTGACTTTATTGTTACCAAGGAAGGGGTTACCATCTATTGTAACCGAATTGGATCTGGTACCCGATTTGTTCCGTTCGATACAGTTTATGATTTACCTACCCATTGCTTTTTCAAAATCAAAAATAAGGGAAGAGTATTCAATGTTCCTCATGGAGTGCAACCACAACAAATTCTCCATCAAAATCCAACGAAAGGGAAAAGGAAGTGCGAGGAATTGTCGTCACCTCCTCATCATGTTTCTCCTACTCCCCCCGTCAATAACTTACCTTCTCCTCCTCGTCATGTTTCCCCTACTCCTTCCGTCAATAACTTATCATCTCCTCCAAGACATATTTCCCCTGCTGCGACTCCAACAGAATGTCCAAAGGCTATCACCGATACTGCTCGTCCTAATACACCTCCTGATAATGTAGAGTTTGAAAAGGAACTCCAAGAATTTTATAATAGTTTAATGGTAGCTACGACTGGATTAACTTCAACACCGAAGAAGTTGGAAGAGAAGGTTGAGACAGAAGAGAAAATGGATGAAACATCGTTGACAAATGTTCCTATATAAACCTTAGTTTTTTATGTAATATTTATTTTTCCTATTAATATTATGGAATCACAATCATTTACTAATAAAGATTTGTATTTAAAATTACCTTTTGGTATGATTTTGTCTGGTCCAAGCTCAAGCGGAAAAAGTTCTTTCCTTTTAAAATTCATAGCAGACTCACAAGATTTGATCGATCCCCAACCAAAAAGTGTACTGTATTGTTTTGGAGAGATGAACGATAATATCCCCATCCTTCAAAAGTCTGGAGTTAATGTTTATGCAGGAGTACCCCCAGAAGAGTTAATCAAAAGTTATTCAAAACCTTTACTCTTAATTCTAGATGACTTGCTCCTGTCTATAGATGAAAAGTATTTGTCGGAATTGTTCACAAAAAAGTCTCACCATCAAAATTTTGCAATCGTTTTTGTAACCCAAAACCTCTTTGAGAAAAAGATTAAGGTTGCCCGTCAAAATGAGCAATATATTGTTTTGATGAGGTCGCCGAATTCTGCACTTTCTGTGAGAAATATTGGAGTACAACTGTTTCCCCGTCAATTGGAATATTTCCTTGATGCGTACAAACAGGCAACTAATGAACCATACGGATACCTACTCATAGACTTGCATGCTTCCTCAGATCCAGCTCTAAGGCTCCGAACCCGCATATTTAAGGACGATGAAGAGAAGATAATTTTCATTTCCAAAAATGTTTAGTCAATTAATTTGTGAAAATAAAGATTTTTTACGCTCATTAGCGAATTCAAGATCTGAAAGGAGATACCAAAAACTTTTACGAAAAGCTGATACTAGTCAGTTGTTGTCCATTGTTGAAATTTGTTTGAATATTGTAAAATCTCGTTTTAATCTTAATACTCGACAAAAGAATCGTTTATTACCACATGCGGAATTTATTCGTAAAATGAGTCGTGCTAGGAGTGAACGGGGAGTAAGAAAAGTTTTGAGGCAAAAAGGTGGAGGAATAGGAGTATTTGCTGCTCTTCTCACACCTGTACTAATTGAACTAGCTCGAGCAATCAGTATAAAAGCCTATCAAAATAATTCAAATCAATCATAAATTTAAAAATAATGGCAAAAAAATTAATTCTTGTTCCAGAAGAGATTTATAGAGGGCTTACTTCAAATAATTATGGGGACCCAAATTTAGATTTTACAAAGAGAGCGGTGGAAAATGCTAAAAGTAAAAAAGAAAACCTCTCTGCTAAAAATATTCACTACAACCAAGAACTTAGACGATATCTGAAACTTAGGAATGAGAGTGAGAATAAACCTGTTAGAGTTGAAATGGTAGCTAACCCCAAAGGAGCAATTATGAATAGAGATGTCATCAGACCCGCAACAAATATTACAGACGATAACGACGATTTATGGATGAGCGATGATTTTTCATATTCTGCGTACCCACAGGAGCCGCCAGCCTTATCATATAATATTGTTCCTCCTTTGTCAGATTCTTCAAACGAACAAATAGCCCCCATAAGGCGACGTAGAAACTTATTAAGAGATGGAATTTCTCCCACTCCTCCTACACCTAGACAAACAATCAAAAGAAAAATTGGGGAGGAAGACTATGGGCAAAATAAAAGAAGACATTTGATTAATCATAAAAATGAGGCTAGGAATGAGTATATGAAACTTTCTGAAAAGGCTAGAAATAGGATGCAAAAATTTGAAAGGAAAAAGATGTTAAAAAATTGGAGAATTCCTTATACCCCTGAATATAACACAAATGTCCCGTTGATGATGATTTTCCTCCAACTCCTCCCAACCCAATTCTCCCTACTATTCCTGAAGGTATTGATGCTTCCCTTGTATCAGACCATCCTCCAACTAGACAAATTACAAAAAGGGGACAGTCAGAAGAGTTTGAAGGTACAAAGAGATGGAAAAGGGGATTTAATGAACATGAAGAAGCAAAATTAAAGCGTGAACATAAAAGAAGGGAATATTTACAAAGGAAAAGTAATATTCGAGAACAAAGGGTTCCCATTGACCAATCAGCGTTAGTTAAAACTCGTAAGGAAGATGATATTCAAAGACGTCTAAAATTAAAAAGAAAATGGGAAGGTCCAGATGAAAGTCCTCTAATTGCCTTGAAAAAAGTAAAACCTGTCACAAAAACCCAATCAGCAAAAGCCGGTAGAGAATGGATGCTAAGACTTATAAAGGCGAAACGTAAAGAAGCTGGTATAAAAAGATTTAAGCCAACACTTTGGTAAAAATGGCAGACCCCACACAGCTATTACATCGACTTTACAATGATCCAGATTCACCTGCTGCCTTTTCCGGAGTTGATAGGTTATAGTATGAAGCACGTAAAATTCTCAAACATTTACCCAAAAAAGTTGTTCAGGATTATCTGGAGGGACACAGGACTTATACGCTTATGCGGCCAAAAAGAATCCATTTTAAAAGAGCAAAAACTGTAGCGGCTGGTTTTATGACCGATGTACAAGTAGATCTGGCTGACATGCAGGCTCTCTCCAGACATAACAAAGGAAATAAGTATATTCTCCTCGGAGTTGATGTTCTCTCTAAACGACTCTTTGGTGTTCCAGTCAAGTCAAAGAGCTCAAAAATATGTTAGAAGCATTTAAACAACTAATTGGTCAAATGCCCATGAAACCTCATAGGATTTTCTCTGATAAGGGGTTGGAATTTAAAAATAAAACTGTGAAAGAATATTTTGATCAAGAGGAGATACAAAAATTAGAGGCTACTCATTCAACTGTAAAAGCTGCTGTGGCTGAAAGGGCTATAAGAAATGTAAAGCAAAGACTGTATAGATACTTTGCTCAAAATAAGTCACTCAATTGGGTTGATATTCTGGAAAAAATTTTAAATGGAATAAATAAATCAAAGAGTAGAGTGCATGGAATGCGACCAATAGACATTGATTTTTCCAATGCTCAGGAGGTGTGGGAGAGAATGTACGGTAATGAGTTTTCGTCAACCGTTAAAAAAAGTAAACAAAAACTTAGCAAGGGAGATTTTGTTCGCATGAGTATTGGCAAGGGTGCTTTTGAAAAAGGATATATTCCAAATTGGGGAGACCAAATTGTGCGAGTGGATAAAGTTCAGGATCAATTTTATCCTGTGCGATATAAAATTATTAATGATAATGGAGACAAGTTTAAAGGATATTACTACCGAGAAGAGTTGGCACGTGTGAGAAAGGATGCAGATACAGAATATAGGATAGAAAAAGTTTTGAGAAAGAAAAAGAGAGCAGATGGTACATATGATATTTTAGTAAAATTCATTGGATATCCCGAGAGGGAGTGGATACATGAAACACAATTAGTATAAAAGCTCATTTAATTGTTCATTATTTAATTTTTGATAAAAATGTCGAATAGTTTTTATGTTTGTTTATTGAGCAATGTACCTGACTACCCCGATAACCAACCAAATAAATTTAGGGTTCACTTACCTAAACCTCTTTATTTCTCTGGTGATTGGGTATGTGGTGTCCATAGTATCAGTTATCCATATTCATGGTCTTCAACCATTGGTACACTTGATGAGCAATGGATAAAAATTCACTTTATTGATGAAAATTCGAAGAAAAATGTTATCAAAATACCATTCCTGCAGCTTCACACATTAATGTTGAAGCCCTTGAAAATTATTTGGCAACTACCCTCAAACATCAGGCAGATTCTATAGGTTCTCTTGATAAGACAG